CAGCGCGCCGGAAATTTCATTTCACATTCGACAAGAATGAAATTTCGAATGCAGATTAGTTTCTTGTGCAAGTGCGTCGCCGCGCCCGCGCCGCTCCGCTTCGCCGACGGGGAAACCGCAAGAATTACAACCGCCATATAATTCCCGGCGTTGTAAAAACCATTTCGCTCGCATTCGCACGCGCTCACGTCCCGCATGACGTTGCTTTACCTGCCCGTAGATCGCATTATAAGGCGAGGCGATACGCGCGAGGTGATTTTTTTTCTCTGTATCGCGATATTCTTGCAGCCCCGGCACTTGTCGGGGAATAATTCAATTTCTGCGTAACAAGGTTCTCGCGCGCGCGAGAGAATCATTTCCGCGTTGTTGGCATCGCAGGCATATAGTCTCACTTACGCCGAGAGACGCGCGCTGTATAACTTGCCGAAAAGATAATCAAACGGATCCGAAGGGGAAATTCATCATGACAGCATGTTCTTTACTCCGAATTGCAACGGAGATGCATTCGGATTATGGACACATTTATCACGTGACTGCGGCATGGTTTAATTTCCAGCTGTGTGCATCTAAAAGTTTCGCCATTAGGAAGATTTGAATTTTATGCGTTTAAATGAACTCATTAGAAAGGAAACTTTGCGGAAACCGGAGAATTTTAGATTAAATTTGAAGTAGTTATATCATAAAATATTCATAGTATATAATAATCTTATGCAATTTCCAGTTTGGCTTTCCGTTTGTTTCTAAAACCACAGTCGCAAACATAATTTAAATAAGTATCTGGAAGGATATATATAAGTGTGGATATACAAAGTTAGGAGTACTCTAATTGCTATGACATTAAAACCTTACAGCTTTAAATCCGCCAATGATATGATCAGAATACGTAATAATTTTTAATTTAATCGTGCGCGACGTGAACCTCTTTTTCCCTTTGACCGTTGCATTCAATTACTAATTGCGATAATAATCATGCGCCGCTCGAAAGTATCACGTAACCGAAATGGTTACAATGGCTTCGGCTATAAATTACCGAACTCAGGTGTACACGACTTGGGCTTAGCTCCGCGCGTCTGACTAATCACGGACTGTAACCACTGCGCGAGGTTACTCTAATACTTCAGAGATCCCCAATAATTTGCGATTGGCTGAACGTGTATCGTCCCTTTGTTACGCGATCTGCTATTCTCAGCGCATTCCTTCGTGTGAAATCCTCATCATTTATGTTTATATATACAATAAACAAGCCTCTCAAAAGCTAAATTAAAAACAACTACATTTTTTGAATAAACTTACTTCTTAATTTCAATATTTTAATAAAGGTCCACAATTGACACTATATAATTTCGTCAATTTTCTCTACTTATTTTTATTTCGTGAAGTCGATCATTTCGATTTCTACAAGAGATTTGAATAAGGAATGACGTGTAAGAAGCGTTCTTAAAATATTGAAAATACCTATTACCTTCTGACCGCAATACGCAACTTTTACTCGGGTCGTTTCTCACGTTTAGAATTTAAATAGATGTAAATAATAAATGCAAGTATTTTGCTTGCCACGAAACCGACGGAGTTAAAACGAAAATGGGTGGAGCAGAGGAGGGGAGGAGGGGGGGGGGCGACAAAAGAGTTTCAACTGAAAATTTGCACAGAATGCACAAAGGCGCAACGTAAGACAAAGGGGCGCGTCTTCGCGTTCTTGGTTTCGAATTGTCGTCCTAAACCCGTGTAAGACAATACGGCTCGTCTACCATGACGCCCGACTCTCCATTCGTCGGGAGAAGAATTGTCTTGTATACGTCTAATTACTCGATGGTATTGTTTACACGGTGGCTCGTCGTTCGCCAGCCGCGCGCGCGCGCGCCTTTTCGTGCCGGCTCTCTCTTGTTAGTCGAAATCCAAACTCGATATTACTCCGGCCTGTGTATCGAGTAAACGACGGAATCCGCTTTGAATAAAGTCACGTCTCGCCCGTGGTATATATGACGACGACGCGGCTCCTCGCTTCACGGACGAACTTGTACCGTAACCGTGCGGTATAAAATAGGGTAAGCCGCGGTTGTTTCTATATCGTCCGTATCGTAAGGACGACACCGACAAACGATATTTCCATGTAAATTATTATTCCGTAAAAATGCTCCCAGTTACTTTGGCGCGCTTATATATATATATATTACGTTTTGCAATCTTTTCCCCGAGTACGCTTTTTACACAAATTGTAGCAAATTTTGCGTTCACGACGTTTACTGGAACGCGCTGGGAATTATCGCGATTATTTGCGCTGCGAGAGCACCGAGCATGTTTGTATCCATGTATATGCTCGTGAAAGTTGCAAATTTCGCAAGAGAAAGAGAACGAAGAGAGAGAGAGAGAGAGAGAGAGAGAGAGAGAGAGAGAAAGAAATAGAGAGCTATTTCGCCAACTTTGTACCATGCCAGTGTCAAGTTTTATCGCCTGGCCTTTTCACTCATCACATTTCGAAACTTGTTGGATACGATCGCTATTGCTCATTGCACTCGAGCGGAAAAGCTTGCGCCGAGTCTCGAACTTGATTCTGCTTCTTGTCGCGCGGGCACGCGCCCACATGATGGATACACTTCGCTCGTATTGCGTGCATTCGGCCGGAGGGAACGATAAATGTACCTAACTTCCACCGTTTTCCGTCGTGGAGTTGTCGTGGACAAACTTTCGCGCGACGACTCCTCCTTTCGGGCGCAACAGCGTGGATACTCGACTTGGCGTTAGGATCTTTGCCTCCCGGTGGGACAATCAAGCGCCTGCGTATAATGTGCTTTTTAAGCCTTGCAAGCAGCAGGGGGTGAATTAAGTATTACAAGGATTTCGACGTACCGCTCGTTGTAATCTGGAGGAGCACAGATTATTTAAATTGCGAAACGAAGCCAATTCAAATTATAATTATCATATTTGTTTGATTCATTTATGCAATAAAGTAATAAGTGTTGCGTGACGCAGTACGTGAAAGCCGTCGTAACTTTACACGGGAAATTATATGAGAGCTGCTTAAATTATGCCGCACATCTATACCTACGTTACTTTGCATATTATGCGTTTCTATATGCGAAACATTTGATTTCGTTTCGTTACATTACTCATTTCGTGAAAATGAAAGGAGATAGATGAGCATTATCGTCGTTATTATATAACTGCAAGAAGGTCGATATGAGTGACACATCAATTTAATATTATGATTCGAAGTGTCTAACAAGTCAGGTAGCTGCGTTGCGCCCCGTAATGGAGTTATCAGTGTGCTGCTGCACAAGGGAAACTTGCCTGATTGGCGTTTAACGCTTGCAACGCGCCAACCGGGTCGCTAAAGGCGATGTTATTGCCGTGATAAATTCTTCTAAGCACGTATCTTAATATCCTATAATTCTTAAATTTTTGCTGCACTGCAAGATGCAATCAATTTCGCCACTAATTTTATATAATTACACGCTACTGAAATTATTCTAAATTACTGTATGGCGAAATCAATTTCGCTTAATTGCTATCGATAATATCGAGTGAAATTAATATTAGAGGAAAACCTTAAGATTATTGAGAAAATTGTAATATTTATTCGACGACAATTTCTTTTATCAAAAAGGATTTTTTTATACACCAAAAAGTTTTTATCGCACACGGAGAGAATTTCTTTTTAAAATTTACCCTGAAAATCATGTTAATCGTGGGACAACATAGTATTTCGACAAATTTTATTGTACACTACAATAAATTTCACTGTGCACTACAATAAATTTATTGTAACATATACTAAAAAATATAGTGAAAATCACATAAAATTCATCGAAATACTATGTTGTCCTACAATTGACATGATTTTCAGGATAAATTTTAAAATAAAATTCTCTCCGTGCACCTGTTCAAGAAAAAAATAATAGATTTCATCGTTGGCCTTCGCCAACAATGAAATCTATTATTTTTTTCTTGAAGATTAACTCACCTTTTGCGTATATTTGCGATGTATGTCGGAAAGATCCCTTACTTTCATGGTATTTCTTTCTTGATCTTTGATATAATATCGCGCGCAAACAAACGCCTTCCCTCCCCCCCTCTCTACTATCATCCCCAATATAACCTGAGGAACGGCGGGTATACGCGTTTTGATCTGTACGCAAAGTCTAGATGAAAGGATAAGAAATATCCCCGTGGAATATCATCACAGAGACACTGACACGACTTTAATGTGTTCCCGCCAGTAATATATATTCTCCCACGCCTCCACGCCTTCTTTATTATTTTTATTTTCGCCCCAGCCGCGCGCGCGCGCGCGGACAGGCAAGCCAATATAAAGTAAGGGACCGCCGGTACGCAATTCGAGGGGGATTATAATGCTCAGAATCTGTCGATTATTTGCATATCGGTTGATCAAATCGTTTCGTTCGCAATTCTTAATATACGATTTGAATAAAGTTGATCGGTGATAAACGATATAGGTTACTTCCCTAAATGCAATTGCGATCGTATTTGTTATTCTATAACTTTTCGTCTTCCTTTGTTGGCCTGCATTTGATTTCCAGCCGTTGAATACAAAGACATCGATAGATTTATTTAATTATATTCATCAATAATTTATATATATATATATATATATATATATATATATATATAAATCATCAAAAGGATACGCGGGATAAATTGTATCTATAATTAACTGACATGACGTGTTTAATTACTCGCGATTCTCGTTAAATATCATTTTTGTCCATGCATTATGCAATGTATTCAATATTTTATTAATTAATAATGTAACAATGCGCGAGAGAATCGTGATATCTCCTACCAAAGATGACAATCCTAATATAAATTACAATTTGAAGAATGATCGTAAAAAAAAACTATTATTTAAAAAGGGGAACATAATACGTAAAAAGAGAACGTAAATTGAAATACGTAACAATGTGTGTGAAATTGAAGTTGAGTGATATATAAAAAAAATTATTCGTTTCAAGGGATATATAACATAATATTTTATGTTCCAGCTGGATCCATGATTGTGACAAAATGGTGGATTGGCAAAAGACACTTCTAATAGTGTTACTGGCGCTTCTTATCTATCCGAATGATATTTTTGGTAAGTACCAAATCTTTATTATTCCCTGACTAATGGCAGATTACACGCAAGTATAGACATAGCCGGCGAGATTTTGGTTAATTTATATCAATTATATGTATAAGGTATCGCCTTGAGATGGTAATAGATGGAGGGCGGGAAATCGAAAGGCAATTGCGAAAAAACAAGATCAATTTAGCGAAATCTCCCTTAATGAATCCGTCGGCGATATTAGAATCCGAATAAGAGTAGGATACCTATCGTGTCACGCGAACACGCGCGTTTGCAGATTTCGAGGGCCGCCGAACCCGATGAATACGAGAACCATGAGATATATATATCGCGCTATATGTACGGGCAATTTTGCAACTAAGCCGCCCGACTGTGCACGACCACCTGTAAATACAATACCGGAACTAATCCGCTTTTGAAACGCACACTTGCGCGACACACGACACACGACGATATTGGCCTTACGACCTTCCGCACCACGCCGGTGAGATATTACTTTTTCTGAATGCCGACGCGTGTCCCGCGCTGCAGCTAAAGCGAACCACGCATTCGCTGCAGTTTTGCCGTTAAAACACGCATATTATCGCTCTAATTTCACTTCACTGTCCGCGCGTATAAATAAAAAATCGTACATCTATCATGCGATATTCAAAGTAAAAATATATACGTATATCTATATGCGTATAACATATTGTAATGTATCCAGATAAAAATTTTTATATGTACGAAATGGATCAATCTTTTCATAGCGTAGTATTTTAAAAGGGCTCTAATTACGACAATATTTAATACTAGAAGCTAAAAGGTTTCGCAGATTAAGCTTAACGATGTAAATAGGTTTTTAGTTCATTTCAAGTGGAATTTATTTCAGAAATAAAATGATTTTAATGGAAATGCATCGGAATACAGGTTTTAATGCTTACATGTTTGAATATCAATAATAGTAGCTAATTAATAAACCAGCAAATCGGGATTATTTTGGGTATTAATCATCTATTAATTTCTTCATTATACATATAATTATTTATTATATAACACACACACACACACACACACACACACACATACACACGCTCGCACACGCACACGCACGCACGTACGCACGCACGCACATGTACGGCTACAGACACTAATAGATTTTGAATCACAAATGACTAAAAAGGAAAAAATTCCAACAAGTTGCAATAAGATAAAAAGACAAATGAGAAAAATAAAATTGTACGAAAGTGAACATGAATATTTAGCAGCCCTTGTCGATGCATAAAATCGAATATAATTTATCTTTTGTCTTGAATAATAACTACATCTAGTAAAAAGCTAAATAGACCGTTCAAACGTACAGGCGGGATGTCCGTGGGATAAATAAAAGATTACGATTTTAATAAAGACTGCAGATACCGTAAGAGACGGGCGATGACGGAAAGAGAAAAGGAGGGCGGCGCTGGGGGGCGGACCGTGAAGAAAGATAGGTAGATATTATAGTTTGACGTAGACAAGAAAATTTCGCAAACTATCAAGGTTTTATCGCTTCCTCCAGTCGCGCATTCGCATGATAATTTCCACCGAGGCGAAACGTCTTCATAACGGGTGAATGGCATTTGATTACTGACGTCACTCAATTTCAGCCGACCTCGTCCCCCTCTCCCTCCCTCCTTCCCCCCGCGCGTTCTCGGTGAGTAAATAAGATTTCCTAGAGGAAAACTAGCGCGCGCGCCAGGATATTCTTTGCGGATCCATTTCTCGCAAACAGGCAAGCGCCCGTGACACCTGCACCCCGATACGCATAGCCTTAACGACTGGCATTCTTCCGTTCTATCCGTAAATTGCCCAATTTGCATCGTGATCTCGACGAATTGTCGCGGGAATTTACTTTAATCCGTCAGATTCCGTTTAACTCTTTTCAAGTTCTTCCGCCTAGAAATTCATGCTTACACGCGATCCTTATTGAACTTGGAGCTTAAAATATGTACATGTAAGAAAAGATTATACTATTTCCCATTTTATTTTAATTCTAATTATACTACGATCGATTTTATAAATTTTAGACCATGAAATGAGTTGGGAAATTTTCTCATATTTTTATAAGATATACGGAAAGAGCGACTTTGCTGGACGATATAAAAACTTTGCTGGACACAGATCTGAAAATAATTTTATTAAACCATCAAAATAATTTTGTTGGAAATTCAATTCTTGGTTGCTAAAATATCAAATTGTTTTATAAAATTATTTTCATATCCATATCTAGCAGAATTTTTAGACCTTCCGGCAAAATCGTTCTTTCCGCGTAGAATTAATAACTTATTATTCGAAAGAGAGCAATAATTAATTTGAAATAGGATAATAAAACGTTTCTAAAATTTATTATACATTTATTATTTCATTTATTCTTGTATTTATTGCAAGAAAAAAAAAGATATTAAAAATATATTCTGTTCTAATTGTGAAAAATCAATGCGTAAATCATGATTTATAAATGTTGCTGACGTATTGATACGAGTGAAGAAGTAATTCTAGACCGACTATAAATATCTAACATTTCGACATCTCATCAATAATTCAGAGTCGCCGTTTTTTTCGGGCCTATAATACTAATCTTTTCTTAGCAACAAGTTATAAAACGTACCTTTTAAAATATCTAGTTAAAAGAGAGTACATAATATTCTCATATGCTCATAAAGGTCAACCATATTATATATTACATAAATAATTCTTGAAAATATTAAAATGTTATTAATTGCAAAAAAAAAATAATTTTATCTCTCGTTCTTAAAATATCCCTCCAAAACATATTTCTGTGATTTAAAGAATACTTTTCTTTTTTTTTTTAATATGTACATTATTATGCATAATGTTATTTCATTTCTTTAAACATGCACTATATATTATCCGCGAAATGCATATTTTCCATATGACACATACAATATGTTCCCGCGTCACACAAATGCATCGAATAGTTTCGAAACAAATCCAAAACAGATCCGGAGAAACTTTGTAGACGCTGCCAGGTTCCAGATTGCGGATAGTTGAAGTAGGTTCGTGGAGGTGCATCCGCAAAGCAACAATTATGAGCGCGACGCGAAGGGGCCCGTCGGGAGGCTGCCGAGACGCTTCATTGTGCATCTAATATCGAGCGGTAATGCGTGACGCTGAAAGGGATAAATAAGGGCCGGGACGTGCGGACCGTAGAAAGACAGCATCCGGCCAATCGGGAATTTTCACTTATCGGCCGCTTAACGAAGGGTGAATGGAAGAAGGGACGGGCCATTCAGAGGCGGGCAAACGAAAGAATAAATTGAGTTAAATTAAACGGGGACCCTTCGTTCCGCGGCTTTTCATCGAGGCGAATGATGTCATCGATGAAGCGATATCGCGATGCAAATTCTCGATCTTATTTCGAAATTTTTCATTCAATCCGGGACGTAATGCTTCCGCCATAAATGCAGCGTATCTTCCATCGCAACTTTCCAAATCTCTTTCTCCCTCCTTTCCTTTGAAAGAGAATTCGCTCGAGAGGATCGCACTGAATAAATGTAATTAATTTTATAATTCTAAGCAAAATAAATACATATATATATTTATTTTGTTTGTATGAGTAGTAATTAATGTAAAATCTCACGGATGTAGATATTTTCCGATGGAATGTCTTACAAGTCAACGTTCGTCTGGAAATGACTCCCGCTGCAACGATTTCAGAAAGCGACAAATGGGAGGATCCTACAATGTACATCCCGACCTCCAACTCTCGCATTTATGCGTCCCGATGAATTTAGCACCACGCCTGTCGGTATATATAGCCGAGCTCTTCCGCTTATGTTTTGCATTACCGGTACCCGCCATCGAATCGCGACAAAACTCGCCTCAAACGTCTCGTTATACGATAGGCAAAGCCGCTTTTGCGAGACAATCGGAAAAATGAGACTGGGAGAAAACGATGGCAAAAAGAGAAATGTGAAGAGGAGAAGAGAGAAAAATAGATGAGGAGTAGTTCAACAATAACGCTAGAAAAATAATGTAGTCTTAAAAATAAATTGTAGCTTACAACTTATAACTTACGTAAAAACAAAGAGTAAAAGAATGATTAAATAATAGTAAAGAGATAATTAAAATGACAGTTAATATTTTATAAATTTTACACCAAAGTCCAAGTGTTTATATTATTTCGATTGATACAAGAGAAAGTAATAAAGTACGTTATACATTGCGATAGAGCATGAATAGTAGAAGGGAAAAAAATTGGATAAAACGGAGTCAAAAAGAGATAGAGAGGGAGAAAAAAGGAGAGATAAAAAACGAGAAAAATGAAACGAAGAACGCTGAAACTCGGCGAAACGACTTTGCGTCGGGAGTCGCCTTTGCGAATATTTCTTTAGTCGGGCGGAGGAGTTACGTGCGGGCGGTGGCTGTTGGGTGACGAGATTTGTAGAGTGTCTGTTTGCTTGTTTGGCCGTTTACTTTGGCCACTCGCGAAGGAGGAAAGTGCGTTTACAGGCGCGCGAGCGGAGCCAGGTCCAAGGGGATACGATCTTTCTCCCCGACGCGATGCAGGGTATTAAGCGTGTTGTTCGTAAAGCGTATATGGTGACACACGTCGATTTATTCGAGTATCTACAATACAAGTATCGAGTAGACGGTAGTAGCGAGTACGAGTATAATAGTATAACACATCGCTATGTTATTTCTATGCGTGCTTTCAGCTGTTTCAAGCCCCATTTAGTTCTATCCTTTGCAACAGTGTTCTATTATAAATAATAGGCAAATAATGTACATTGCTTTATACATAGTTCGCTATATTGACGTAAGTTCCGCAAGCGCAAAAAAATACAAGAAATTTGTATTAATACTTTTATCCAGTATTCCAATTTACGACTGTCATTGCGCGATATGACGCGCATATGTAAATGAGACTGTCATTATCAACGTATACTGAGTGAGCGCGTGCAAAGTGCATTCTAGCGCGACGAGTTAAACATGTAGTTAATATTACCTCAATTGATACGTTGCAGCAATAGTTTAGTCGGCACTTCGGATGCGCGATTACACGCGCGATATGCATGGATCGAGCGATACGCGAAGTTCATTTGCTATGAATTTCCAGCGCGATGAAAAATCCTGAAAAAAATACAAAAAGTACCGAATTATATTCTAATTTTAGCATATATTCGTAACACAATTTTATAAAATATAAGATACTATTTAATAATTAATTACATACATATTATAAAGTTAAAAAATTACTGAGTTTTATTAATTAAACCGATAACCTAATTAAATATTTTTACTCGGTTCAAAAATCTTATCGTTAATTAATATGTCATACACCTTAATTTACAGGAAATTAATATTATATGTTAAGTGTGAATGAAAGCAATATTTTGTAATAAAAATTGAAAAAAACAAATCTTGTAATTAATTGTTTCATTTAATAAAATTACAAAACAAAAGTGATACAAATAAAAAAAACAATTAATTCTCTGTGTAGGGATTAGAAATAATTTATCCAAATGTTACGCTTGATAATCATTAGCTAATAATCACTGATAAATGAATATTCTTCCAGGTGATTATTAGTATTGCGTGAATTTCATCAAATATGCTTTTGCATCGCTCGATGTGCGCGTGCACGAAATGATGCGCAAAATTATTGTCAAATAATGCTTGACCAATAGGGAGTAAATAATTGCGCGGTGCGATGCTATTTATGAGATAAATTGCTCAAATCACCGCGGTAATCGATAGTTTATTTTTCCTTCTCCCGCCATCAGTTTATTTTCCAACGTTTCGACCTGCATCTCTATTCGCGTATGCGTTTCATAGCAAACATGTTATACATACGCACGCTAAAAACGTTTGCTGTTATTTAACTAACAAATATTTATTAATTGAGAAAAAGACATACTTTAGCTTTTTCATAGAAAAATTGATGTAATAACATTTTAACGAATTAAAATAATTTAATTAAGTGTCTTCTTATTAACATTTAAAAAAAAATGGAAATTTAATTTGCGAGAGGGAGTGAAAAAAAATGAATGAAAGCTTCGCGCGATTTTCCGGGAGTGAACTATCTCTGTAACGGTATTAACGCGAAAAACGGTCCTCGAAGAATGGAAAAGCCCCCAGCGCGAAAATTACCCGAATTATCTCGAAATAACGACAGAGAGAGTTCACGGCGCCCGGGATTAATAAGACCGCTTGTTACGGCCAAAGGATCGCGTGTCGAAAAGCGAAAGCTATACTAATTCGACTACGAAACTATACATATCCGCGCGGCGAAGAATGTTACGATATTTAATATCCACAACAACTTATTTTGCCGACGGAAGTTCGATAATAAGCTACTTGCAATTTTCAACAAAGTTTCCGGATGGAAAACCGTTGGCTCTCTCCGTGTACTTTCCGCCGCAATGTTGACGAGTACGACGCGCGCGGTAAGTAATTTATGCCAGTAACTTTTTAATATTAATAAAATGCGCGCGATAGGGGTTATTGACAATTTTCTGGCTTTTCAGGTAATACCTTAAAACAACTTACGACTTACGCGCTACGATTAATTAAAAATCCAAAATAACATCGACGCATGTGAAATATGCATAAAGGTAATAAATATCTGGTATTCTTAATACTTTCGGATTTTATCGCCTCCACGAGATTTCTGTCTGTCGTGGTTTAGACTCTGTAATTTTCTTACACCTCTGATTATCTAATCATGCGCCGCGCTTGGCGTAAATTCATAATGAAATTTAAACGCAATATTCTCCATTACCGTGTTTTTCAAGAAAATTTCTTTTTCTTGAAAATAATTAAAACTGTGTGCATTGCACTATGTGGCGCTTTAATTGCGAACATTACTTTTGCGAAACAAATGACTGCGACCCCCCCCCCCTCCCTCCGGTTTATGTATTCCGGAGTTATATTTTAACTTTTAACGTGGTGCTGCTCATATCAAGCATAGCCGCTGGCGGTAGACTATTAAGTGGTTCACAGTAATTGTTACAATCATTCTTATTAATACTTGATCCAATTATTCCTGTTATATAAGATAAACACATTAAACTTGTCTCTTTTTCTTAAGTTCTTTTTTAATTCCTTTATTACCTACCTGGTCAGATTCTTTTCGTAGAATTTTCCTATTCCTCGAATTTTCTCCTATCTGTTTACACAATTTTTCATATTATTATTACCTCCATTCATACTCTATAATTCGCTTACAATCACATTTACCGTTAATTGCATTGACTATAGATGAAGTTGTCACATTTAGATCAGAGGGCATTACGAAAAGTCATAATTTACTTTAGAAGATAATTATTAATCAAAATTGCATGTCAAACTGCATTTTCGTTTATTTTACGTAGTCATTTTCGTTACATCACTTTTTAATGGGTTTTGAATGTCAATGTAATTAAAGATCTTTTATTACAGTCACAAGTCTCATTCAAACATATCGTTATATGCACGGAGTAATGAGAAATCGGATAATCGAAAATTAATAGCCTGAATTACAACGAAATTGTTTCAGTTCATACATTTGTCGCATTCTAATTAATTTCATATAACTCGCTATCCAAATAGATATGGCAATTTGACGAAACAATTTAAAAAAATGATCAATTTTAGAGATTTAATTTTGAAAATTTCTCTCTATTTAAACCCGTCGAATGAGACTATGTGCAATGTTCGATTAAAACGAAGGAAGTCGTAATGAAAGGTGATAATTAAGTTGATTACCGTAACTTAATATCGCAAATTTCCTCGTTCAACTAATAATACGCCACGTTTCTTCGAAGTTGTGACGATACTTGTTATTATAGAAAAGAAAAAAGAATCATGATTCGCATTTTCTTAAAATTAAAGACGAAACTAAAAATAAAATATATATTTAATTTTATAAATAAATGCGGAAACAGATGCCTGTTTTAGCGCGACGAGTATGTATTAAGTATTCCTTTTAATTTAATCAATTAACAGGCAAATGTTGCATTTCCATGACGTCAAGCTATCCGGGCAAGCCTCGCGTAGAGAGAATTGTAAAATAAAAAAAACTCTAAATCGAGTAGCTCATGCAGCACAGCTGGAACAGAAATTTCTGCAGAAGTATCATTGTCCTGTTTACCCCGTTGTATGCTGTGCTGCTGGATACTTTTAGCAAAAATTCATACGAAAATGCTATCGGGCGCGCGTGCATCTCGTTGGAAGCCCATTTGATACGGTATATTTTTCTATATACATTTATATATATATATATATATATATATATATATATATATATATATGATGTTTCTAGGCACACAGAATTCAAGTACCAAAACAGCCTGTTACGCGAGGATCGTGAAATATAAAAACAATAGTAATGTAAAGCCAGATCTTCTTATTTGCTCTCTGTAGAATCTATTTGCGCGAGAAAATGCATCCACGAGAAAAAGAGAAAGTGTGTGTGCCTCTCCCCCGCGTCGACTCGCCCCTCTCTCTCTCTCTCTCTTCCCATAGTGATCGATTCAATCAACATTTATGTCATCATTCTGTAAACTACCGGATAATCATCTCGACGCGATACTTTGGCTGCCGATTACAAGATTAATTCAATTCGCCCGTCGCGAGTCGTCGAGCGCGGCGTTCAGTTTTATCGACGGAACGTAAAAATCATTTGACGTTTACGCTCAAATTTGCATTTCGGCAGAACCCGGCATTTGCAGGGCTCCGCGCGCGCATAAATTATCCCACGCGGGCGGACGCGCCGCGTGGAAGGGGAGGAGGATGGAAAGAACGCGCGGAATTTGACGGGCAAAACTTTTAATACAAAATCGAGTATCTACATCTTCGCCCATTCTTCGCGTAGATATTTTCTGCATCCTTGATCTCTATCTCGTCGGCGAAGCAATTTATATGTTACGCATCGCAAACGTGTTTCGCCTTATTTCACGCGGCGGCCGCCGCGTGTCATATTGAGCGCTATCGTCTGTGTAGCGCTATTATTCATAGTGCAGCTGCGAAATAATCCGGGAATATGTGAAAAATATGAGAAAGTAAAAGGAGATGTATTCTGTTACGTTGTAGAAACGGTAGCGGTTAGCTATAATCGTGCGTGATGCAATATTTATGGCAGCTGCGTGCGCTGTACGCATAATTTCACATTAGGAAGATAATGGATAATGGAACGGTATGTACGTTTCCATCGCGCAAATTACGTTGTTACGAGATAAATAGATTTGAAACGATCGTATCTACATTAAAATCGCATTCTCTTTAAGTTTTAATTCGTAATGCAATTATTTCGAAAATTACATGAAAATAATGTAAAACAATATAACATAAAATTGCATTATATTTTCGTATAATTTTTTAAGTAAATAATACATTACAAATTAAGAAGTAAAGAGAACGATAATATTATATCAAATTGTATTATATTCGTCAATTTAGTTCAGACGCAACAGAATAATTTAATACAATTAATTAATTTTATTTCAATAATGTGTCAGTCGTACAAACCCCCATGGAATATTTAACAATTGCATAAAGATTACTGTTTTCGGTAAAAACGTGCACAGAGAGAGAGAGAGAGAGATATCTAATTACATGCGATAGATATTTCTTTTTTTTTAATTTTTGTAAATTAATCAATAATTATCGGCGGCCGCAGAAATCAGGCATGAAGAAAATATCCACAGCGTCGATCAATGTTGGCCGTGAATGTGGAAGTTTGCTCAAGTGGCGCACATATACGACAGCGTTTCTCGCTAATTCGACATCACGTCTACGCGTTTAATTTGCAGTCGCGAGACGCATCTCCGCGTCGCGCGGCGGTTCCGCCGAGTCGCGTAGCATTCATCCTACTGACGTTTATTCGCTTTCGCATAAAGTGCATTCTGCACGACGGCGAATTGACGTCGCTGTCGAAAAATTGCCGGCGGTGCGCGGTATGCAAATGGCGTATGTATTTTTCACGAACGTCGTACGTATTTTATCGTTTCAGGCGGCGCTTTTCAACCCGAATTCTCCGGCCCTATCACCAATCTAACCGTGCCACTCGGGAGGGACGCCACTTTCACGTGTCTGGTGAAACATCTAGGAGGTTACAGGGTACGTTGCATGAAAAGCGACAGCGTGTCTGTGTTGTCGTAACGCTCGCTTAACTTCTCGGGGTCTCACTTAACTTCTGAAAGGAGATGCGCCTTTAAAAAGTCATATCTCTCCCGCCCACAGGTTAAACTTTTCGCGGTACACGTCGCGAACATTTATTCGAAGTGTGCCGCGGTTATAATGTTGACACGGTCCGATAACTACCACAAAAATCTGGAGTGCAGAAGCAGGTACAAAGCGAGCGAGCGATGGCGGCATAATCGCACACATTGTTAGAATCGCTACGTATACCAGGCAACGGACATTTTATCCGCACATTTATCTGCACCTCGATATTCGTTGATAACTGAAAAGAAATTGAAGTTCTCTATAGTTCGAAAATTAGTTTTTATTTTCTACTAAAATAAAAAGCAGATCCGTAATGAGAAAAGGATCCTCGACAAGTACACGGAAAAGACATTTAGCGCTTTGAATAATCTATCTGTACGATTTTCGCGGACGCGAAAGTCGATCCTGATATCTGCAAAATTCTCACTTAAAAGCGGGAAACGAAGTCGAGAGGAATTTTTCCGCTCGGTTTGACTCGACTTTTCTTCTTCCTGCAAGGAACCCGACTTTCAGGGAACTTTTATCGATACACGTGTCTTTAAGATGATACGAGCGGCTCCTATCGACGCATCATTAACAAAATTTTTCGCGAAGCTGATTCTGCATTACGGATCGCGCTAATATCAATCACGCGCGGACGCGCGATTTACGGTGGAATAACTTGACGAGCGTAAAACGCTCTTAAAATTCTGCGCCGCAAATTCGCCGTTTTTTATGACGGCGAAATTTAATAATAATTTTATTACGCGCGTGGCCATACAGCCGGATTATCTTTTTCACGCATTATCGTTTTCTCTTTGCGCCTTTTGCAAATTGCATTACGCTACAGCGAGACAGAGAGAGAGAAAGAGAGAGAGAGAGAGAGAGAGAGAGAGAGAAGAGAGAGAGAGAGAGAGAGAGAGAGAGAGAGAGAGTCAGTATAACCGGCAACTACATTACGGTATAACCAGTTGCTTCTAGCCGACAGTACTATTTGCTCGTAGTCGGTCAGATACGCCCAGATGTGTAGACTAGGGCCGCTATCCATATCTGACGTCCGACGAAATTGTAAACTGTAGAATGGAATACACGATTACGTTTCACATCGGGCCGAATCTCTGCCGGCAGTTTGGCGAAGTAGAAGCGTAATATCAACATATCCGAAACGCAGTAATATATATTACATTCTCGAATTCATTCGGCCGCGTATTTCAGTTTTCGATCTTCATTGCGTGTCACAGATTGAGCAATTATTATTACCGTTAATTTAATCGCGCGGAACAATGAGGACATCGATTACGTGCAAATAAACGTCAACGCCTCGTATCGGTCAAATTAAAATGGCTTTCCAAAGCCGGAGAGTCATAATAATTAAATTTATGTGAAGCGCGCAATCGCGATGCGCTGGAAAATCTGTCGTTTGCCGAACGTATACCGCGAAAATCTCGGATCTCTTTCTCTTTCACTTCATTTATAATTCACTCGCTGAGGGAATCTGAAAGTTAAATCCGAAGAGTGATTGACTCGCAAGCGACCCGATTTTATCGATGCTTTCTTTAAGCGATTCTAAATCAAGCAACTGAGATATCTGCTGAACGATCTTTGATAAAGTAATTAATAATCGACGATGAGATCAAATCTCTCATGAAAGAAAAAACGTGAATCCCTTATCGTCACTTCTCCAAAAAACAAACACGACCGATCACCAGTAACCTTCTCGTGGACGATGAACGTGCAACGATATCCCCGCGATCGCGCAATATCGCGCGTACACAAACACATACATACGCACATACACACGAAAATAATAGCGCGACGCGCGTTCGGGCTTGCCTCTCTCTCTCTGCATCTTGTGCTTCTTTTATTACCGGTTGAAATGGGCGCGTATACGTGGCGTAATTGCGGACGCGGGCGGGCGCGCGTGTGCGTGCGTGCGCTCGCTCACGCTCGTTCGCGTGAAAATCGCGGGAGCTCGCTCCGCTCGATTCGGAATATTCTAAGGAAAATGCAAATACCGCCGAGAAGTTTGGCCAAGGGGAATCGCGCGTGTCAATCCGTGTGCGCGCGTACACCCGTGTGTGTGTGTGTGTGTATGTACGTATGTATGTGTGCGTGCATGCACACCTCGGGACAGGCATCCCCCAGCATCTGTTTGTATTCCGCAGTCGGATGCCTGTGAGGAAATTGCGGCGTCTTCGGCGAAATCCGCGGCGCCGTCACCGCGATTTCCGGCGCCGACACTCTCCCGCGCGTCTCTCCTCCCCCTTCCGTCTTCTCACCGCCACACTCCCTCCCCCTCCTCCCCCCGCCGCCTATTAAGGCCCCGATCCGGCGATTGATGTTCCAGGTCGGTTGGGTAAAGGCGGACACGAAGGCGATCCAGGCGATACACGACCACGTGATCACGCACAACCAGAGGGTGTCCGTGTCCCATAGCGACCACTCTATATGGAATCTGCACATCAAGGGCGTCCAGAAAGAGGACGGCGGCCTCTACATGTGTCAAATCAATACGGATCCCATGAAGAGTCAGGTATATACACCGCACTAAACTCCTTTAAATTAGGTCGATGTATACGGAGTAGTGATCAATTGATCGCGCGCATATTTCCACGAAACTCCGAGACCAATTCCGTGGAAATCGACGCTTCCCTCGTTCCCCAGGCGATGCCGTTCGTTGATTTCGTTTATTTATTGCACATACCTTGTAAATGTGAGCGGAAGCGCTTCTTTTTATAAGATCGCCCGACGTGTAGTACCGCGACGCTGTCGATTTATTCGCGAGCTATCTGACTGTCGACGTGTTGCGTAAATTAATCCGATCCCGTCGAAAGTTTTTTTTTTTCACTCTTTTCCAAACACGCTGTGCGCCTCAATTACGGAACTTTCTGCCGTTCGTTCGAATCGGGGGCGACGTCCGTTTCTCTAGCCGCGCCTTAAACGCTCGTCGCGTGAGCGTTAATGCCGACCGACGCGGGTAAATCTAACGAGGCACAAGTTTCGCGAACGATCGCGGGGGCATGCGAGAGAGCGACGACATCGCGGCAACGCCGGTGGTGGAAGTATCGTTAGGAAGTTCCCGAGGGAACGCTTCTAATAGCAGTTCGGGCGCCGTTTTAGAAACGCGCAAAGCCGCGGAAGGAACGCGCGGAATTTACTTAGGCGCGGAAACGGCGGTCTATTCGCCGCTTCGAGCATTTTCGGTAGTTACGATCCCCTCCTTCGCTCATTCCAACCGAAATGACAAGACCCCGGCTTAACTTTAGAATTTTCCAAAAGAAACGGCCCGGTTCGCTAAACACATTTGCCAGTTTTTGTAATTGTAAAAGATTTAAATTATATACACTGTTAAATCTATAATGTCAAACACTAAACGTTATGTAAGTCGCCACTGCTCCTTAATAAATAGTTATTTTGAACTAAAACAACGGAGTTAAATAATTTAAAGAGTTAAATCCCATTTTATTTAAAAATAACTGTATTCTTTTAGTTAACAATAACTATTTATTAAGTAGGAGCAGTGGCGACTTAAATAAGATTCAATTTGACACTATAAATGTAACAGTGATAAAATTCGTTGTACTTAAATTGTTATCTTTCTACAATCCTTCAGGTAAGTATTCTGGAGCTAATGGCGAGAATAACTTAATTGAATAAGAAGTTATTTACTTTCATATGTAACGTCCGTATTTTCCGTTAATACTGATCTCGATACTTTGCCTCGATGTGTAAGCCTGGATACATATAATCCTTGTTTGAAATTAGCCGTGGTAAACCAACAAACTCGGTGAAATAACTAATTGGGACGACCCTATCGACTGTATTCAGGTCGATAAAACATGGAGACCGGTTTGTCAGCGTACGAAAGGTCACATGATTTCGACGAGCGTAAATTTCACCCTCTCACATTATGTATTTATGTATATTTTACTACATATTTTATCTGATGATGTTATTATGCATATGTTACATAAATGTATTACGAAGATTTCATTTGGCGCGTTTGGGCATAATCTATATCGTAGATGGACTAAATAACGATAATTTCACTATTGCATTAAGTTTCAGTTATAAATCATACTAGATTTATTTCAATTTTAATGTGAAAAATATGGTTCCACAAAAATACGAATGAGTTCGAAACAATAACAACTTTTAGTTAATAACGACGTTAGATTAAAAACAAAGTTTCGACGAAAATATAATATTACTGCCACATGTGTACATAACCAATAAAATATATGTTCTATAAAACAATGGTAACGCGCGTAAATAAATATTCCACGCTGGTCGGCGACAATCGATTTTTAGGGAACGCGACTTCTCGTGTTCTTGCCTGAACTTAACTTCGCGAAGGATAACGGTTTTCCAATAGAGATTTAGTTCATAACATAACCAGCGAGAGATGTGAATCGTATCTCTCTCTTTTTTAGCATTTTTTATTTTCAAAATAATCTGAAAGAAATATTGTTCCGCGCATCATAAACGATTTTTCAATCAAAAGAAACAAATTGTTTTGCAAAAGTACCGGCTAAAAATGTGAAAATATTTGCTTATATATTTATTTATTTACGGAAAGAGAGCTTGTTTATTTAAAATCGACTTCTTTAATAGAAGTCCGAACGTAACACTCTCGCAATATTTGCACGTCGACTCTAGAATATTTTTGTGACTGATTGTAAGATAAGTACGGCAGAATTTGTATTTGTCTACATATCGCCAGATCTTTTTTGCATCGCTCGTCGGCAAACGCCGCGAAAATCGGTGTAAAAATATCGGCTAAAAATGTGCAAAACATTTGCTCACATATGCTTCATTTATTTGCGGAAAGAGATGCTTTGTTCATTTGAAATTGACTTCATTAATAGAAGTCCGAACGTGACACTCTCGCAATATTTGAACGTCGAATCACGAATATTTCTGTGACTGAGATAAGTACGGCGGAATTTGTATTTGTCAACGTAACGCCAGTATCGCAGGATCTTTTTTGCATCGCGGCGAACGCCGCGAGAAAATCGGTGGCGATAAGTTGCCGAACTGCCGAGTGAAACAATTAATCGAGCGACCCGCTGCCGGTGATCGCCCGCATCGATAAAGTGCCAAGATGCGCCCGAGTTAATCGATAGTTGCTCAGTTACAATCGGACCGCGTCCCACTTGGCTCACGCAATTAATCATCCCCCGGGCCTCAGTTTGCTAACTATCATTAACATAATCCATTGGTGTAATACGCGCGATCGTATTCACATTAGAACATAGGAAATCAGGAATATCTATCGAGAGAGGGGCTACGTTGCCTCATTAAACTTTCATTCGCGATAAGGGGCGAAATCTCTCTCTTGCGCTTAAAAATTATTGCCTACACCGAATCGCGATACGTCCTGGCGGCACTTCGCGGAAGAATTTTCCCCGACACTCAGAAGTTCGGGAGTTAAATTTAATCGTCGACAGAGAAATATCGATCGGGCTAGATGAGTTTCGAAACCACGTAATCTACCACAAACGTAACACAATAGCTAGCCGATAAATGTAATCTTGGTTTAATAACCAAGTTTACTGGTTTATTGGTTTATTCATGATAAACATCGCGTATCATTATTGTACTCATGTTTCCGCTTGAAACCTTCGAGCGACGTGAAAGCGAGAAAGCGAGAGAGGGGGAAATAGAACGGAGAAGAGAGAGAGATCTAAAGCTGCAGCTCAAACGGGGAGGCGGCGGCAATCGCTGCAGCCTCGTTTACACATCTTCGATACTTTCCGCCGCCGCCTGTAATCGTCGTCGGTGACGCGCGATAGCGAAACCGCAGGGGTATTAACCGCCTGCCGTCGAGCTGTGCCGTCGAGTATTAGCTGTGTGCCGCCGACATAACAATCTGTACAAGTATCGAAGGCATTTCGCCCTCCGCGTGCGCGCGCGGGCTGTAGCAGGCAGACCCGCGGCATACTTAACGAGCCCGGGAACTTAACGAGCCGTCCTCGTCAGTTCGGGGGTATGAACGTTTATGAACACCGCCTCAAGTAGCGCTTAAATCCTCCTCCCTCCCCCGCTCGCCTCCGACCCGTTTCGAGTTACGGCTGCGTATATAGTCTTATCAGAAAAGGATTGGAATATTAAGTCGCGTTTAACGACTGTTATACACGCAGTCGGCATGGTAATCGCCGTATAAAGAAATAAAGAAGATCGTCGCTCTCTTACTCCGTTCCCCGGGTTGACTTTCGAGTGATTTGAGCGACTGTTGAAAAATCGCAAGAGGTTAACGATTGAATCGAGGCACCGATTTATATTTTATTTTCTTTTTTTTTCTTCCGATGGCACACAAATTCACTTAAGGCGATGCTGAAAGGTCGGAATTACCGACACATTGCAACGATAACTTCGAAAATACTAAACGGAATTGAAATCGCTTTTATAAGATTGAAATAAAATGTAAGGAGGCGAGCTACGAATTTATAGTAAATTCATTAGAAAAATTCATTCAGAAAAAGTTCATTTAGAGACTCAATTTAGAGACACCGACTGACATTGAAGAGTCTGCTTTGTCGACCTCGTGCAAATTTCTCCGACCTTCCAGCATCGCCTTAAATCGAGCAACGACAACAGCCGAGTCTTAAAAATTCGCACGCCTCTCTGCCTGCATGAAATGCGCACGGTACACTGCACGGTTTAGACGGCAATTAGTCGCGCAAAAATTACGTGCTTTACGAGCGCTGAGATTTTTTTTTCTCTCGCGGTGTGAAAGACGGTTAACGAGCCACTTTAGTTAACGCGCGCCAGTTCTCTCGCGCCCGTCCCCTCGGATAACATTTGCGCGTTGTCTTGACGCGAGAGACCGGAGTCGACCGCGGTTGTCTGGTTGCTTTAAAGTAACACCTCATCCGCCTCTTGCCGGGCAAAGTGATACGGCACGAGACGCCGCGCCACTGGGAAGTCTGGAGATCTAATTTTCCGACATTTCGGATTGAATTCACGCGAGCCCCGCCCCTGCCAGCCGGAGTTTCCCTCTTTTCGCGGAAGGTGGAAAGCTGTAATCTTAAATAGTGCGCGGAGCGTAACATAGCGATGGCTGCCGTCGGTGAGACGGCGGCAGGTGCCCCGGCCGCTCTCCGATCTCTCTTGTCGTTCTTACTTTACGAGGCACTAAGCTAAATAACGAAACGCTCCGCGAGTAAGCGCCCCGACCAATCGTTCGAGGATTTTTCGCAAAAAGAACGAATGTAAAATTAAAACGAATAAGCTGCAAGAAGAGAGGGGTAAGAGATATGCCGCGGAAGATAAAAAGTTTATCTCTTGCGCGGAAATAGATTCTCTCGAAGTGAGCGTGAAATCACATTTTGCATTAAGATGCTGCACATTTTGTTTCCACAATCGAATCCACCGGCCTTCCGGTCGATTGAAAGCCTGTGATTATTATTATCTTATTATCTATCAGAGTAATATCTCGTTTCCACTGGCCCGTTCTCATATTGCGGCGTTGTTTTTGTCCGCTTCACGTTAACTCTTTGCCTTCTGTGAGACGAACATGGCTCGCCCGCGAGCGGTCAGGCTGCAACGATTTTGCCGGGGCAATTCTCCGACAAATTCGATTGGAAAAAAGTCGACATACGGATCGTGAAATGCGCGAAGAATAGTGATAGAAAATATATTGTAATAATTTATATTACCTCACATTTTATTAAATTTGTCACACATTAGATATTTCCATCATTATGATAATATAAAAATTTGATGAATATAGTTTAAGAAAAAGATATCCTTCGGAATGTTTTAAAAATTAAATGTCAAAATTTTCCGAATTTATTAACTGAATTAAAGCTTTTAGCCGATGATCGACGGGCGATAAATTGCCCTCTATAAGTAGATTAATGTTTCCACCGTTTAAAAGCTCTTTCTTTATTTCAGATCGCCATATGTCTTTCCACTTTCTTCCTCGTTCCCGCGCGCGATATATATCAACAGTTAAAACACGACCGTCGCCCTCGGCAAAGGATGCCGTCTCGCCTCTCGTAACTATATTTCCTCGCTCGTTGCCGAATGCGGCGGCACCCTTCGCGCGTCGCTTATAATTCCGACTGCGTGTCTGATAAAATTTACGTGTACGTATGGAGAGGCGTCGGCTTGCGCGCGCCGGCATGTGCGTCGTCTTTCTTGAAATTTCGCGTCACTTCTTCAAAGCCATCTGCATAATTCCGGCGCGACGGAAACGCACTGATTTAGCCGGGTAATTGAATCGAACCTCACGAAAATACTACCGCGCGTCCCTCGTGAATGTTTTATTGTCCTCGCAACGATTTCAGAACAAATCGTTGATTTCGTTCAATATAATATGTATTTACATTTGGCGTCAGTTAAAATTAATTACAATTAAATTAACTAAAGTCTCAGTTACGCACGCAGCTGTGTTAATTTTTAAAATAAAATATATAATCGCATCCTCACGTCGTACGCAAATGCTTAATTCGTTTATAATTTTCACTCGTAATTTTCATCACTGACTTTTATCGTGCGTGATATATCCCTGAATTTAACGGCGCATTGAATGATACCGATTCAAGTTAAAGACGAGAATTTTTTTTCTCGACGCACTATATGTACACTTTCCAGCGATTTATACTATAAGAAGAACGTGTAATCCCTCGTTTTATTCGCTTATACCGCTAACTATTACTAAACAATGTGTGGTTTCTCAATTATATTGTACTACAAGCCTGATTATGTTGAATGGAACTGTGCGCATACATATGGGTTAATAATGATCCTGCGGTTCGAATCTAGCTAACGAGGGATAATGAGTTTGCACGAACGTGTTCTTTGCGAATGCGTTTGCCCTATGATACATTCTGTGGATCCAAATAATTCTGCACACTGTCTGATCATTTTTTAATCATAATTAAAACATTAAGTTTTCTACGTTTTTTTTTACTTTATTTTTATGCTTTCAGAATTAATAATAAATCATTGTAGATATAACAATGATGCTTATTGAAATACGAAAATAATCTGTGCTTGTTACAAACACGAAAATTATCTGTGTGTATTTTATAAATAAATTCCGGACGTAATAAATCTGTTTATTTGATAAATAAATTCACAGTAAATTAATTTCCTTTTGTGTTAGAATAATTTCGGGACATAATAAATTTGTTGTTTATTTCACAAATAAGTTTACAATAAATTATTTTCCTTTTGCGTTAGAATAACACGATTCCTCGAGGGGAAAAAAAATCGCGGAAAATAGGTCTCGCAGATAAGAATCACTTCGCAGAATTCACGCGATTATACATATATTGATTCTGGAAAACAAAGATCGACCGATCAACGAGACGCGGATTCATTCACCGCGGACTGATACAGTCATTCGCCAGGGCGCGTAATAATTAATTTACGGCGCGCGGATGCGGAGGAAGGGAGTTTCATAATTCAGTGGCGACACGTACGAGTTTACGCGCTCGGGCACGTGTCTCGCTGCGCTCGTCACCGTCGTCGTCGTCGTCGTTGTCGTCGTCGTCGTCGTCGTCGTCGTCACGTTAGGTAGTAGGTACGCAGTTTGCATTCGTCGGGACTGTTTCTCGAGCGGTGCACGGTGCAGCGGCGGCGGCGGCGGCGGCTTGCCAGACAACTCGGTTATAACGATTGAAGTTTCGTCGTGGCGTGGATTACATCCTCGTAATTGCGCGCACACCTCGCGCCTTCGCGTCTTACGTGTGGAAAGAGGTGGGGGAGGGGGAGAGGGCGGGCGTCACGTGAGAGAGGGACTTCCTTTAAATCGAGCGAGTGAAACGAGAATTGAGGGGAAGAGTACGATGATGGATACGAAGGAGACGAAGGGGAGGAGAAGAAGGTCTTTGCACTTCGTACTGACGCCTCGCGGCTTGACGTACGAGCGCCGACAAAAGTCCCCGACGTCAGACATTCGAGGTTGATCCACCTCCTCGATTCTACCGCGCGCGCGCGCGCGCGCCTCCGCTGTCTTCAGTCGCTCGCGGGAATTATAACGCGATAGCGCCTCCGCGTGCTGATAAGCGTCAAATGCGTAGTTACCGTGTGTACGCGAAGCACTTTGCCGCGAAGGATTATTTTACACCCCCGGCGAGAAAATGTGATGTGCCGTACATCCAGATATTTTGACGACATCATGCAGGTGTTAACCTGGTTATCTCTGGGGCAATAAGTCATGGAGATTGTTGACATAGATAGCGTAGTTTGAACTTATAAGTATCCAGCGACTTAAAAATCTAGAATCCAATGAGCCTTCCGAATTCATCGAAATTATCAATAAATTCCTGTTTAATTTAATTAAGGGATTACATTGTTAAGCTTTATTATGAAAAAATAACGATGTTATTTAATTCTCTCTTATTACTGCATCGAAATTATATTTTTGACGACAAATGAGATAACATGAAAGCACACATTAATCGGTATGATCTCCGATAAAAACGGATTCTCTTTCTATATTTAGCAGGCAAATTAACCGGATAGATTAAACGGGGGCGATTTTTGGGCACGTGACTCACGTGCGACTATAACTCATATGCATGATTGTTAGGCTTCGCGGCGGGCAATAACGATCGCGCCGACTGTTAGTTATGATGTTTGGCCCTACCACGCGCCGTTAATTAACGAATAACCCGCGACATACACCGGCATCCGTACACTGGCAACGGCAGCAGGTTGCACGGCCATAATATGTTACCGGGCGCCGGGCTAAAGTATATAGAGCGAGATGCTTGTGAGATTTAGGGACGCTCGCGTTATTCCCTGCCTTATGGCACTGTATACTTCGTAGTCTACTTTAATTTACGAAAAGGAGAAGGAAAAAGCCGACGAATAAACTGCCGTTGCGAATTGCTTGTTACGTCCGGAATCGTATCTAATAAGTTGGTGGCGCCGCCGCGACTTCCTCCCAGGTGGAGGTTATTGAATTAATCTCGGAGAAGAATCTCCGACCGAGAGAAATCCGTTTGTTCTCATTAATTCCGCAATTTTATTTCGTGCCTATCTGCCGCGCATAAAAAACACACTCTGGTTATCTGAAATACTGTCTCCGCTAGGAGCACTGCGGGCCGCGACAAGGGAAATAAAGCCGGCTCTATGTCATTGTTCCGATTCGCTTGTTGTTATCAACGCCGCATATCAAATGAATCACATTCGCGACGCCGTGTATTGTATTAATGGAAAAAAATACGCTCTCCTCACGACGAAGCGTATATTTTGGAGGGATTGATGTTAGAAATATTACATAATTACACAGCCTTGACTGCGCGCGCGCGTCTCGCGTTTCCTCCCATGTTATCACCGCGAATTTCGTATGTATGTTAATTAAAGTGCGCGTAGCCAGTTGTGAAAAAAAACTTACCGTAGATGGGCCGCATAAAGCAATATTCAGACAGTTCCACTCGGGATTTTAAGCAATCTGTAATGGAAAAAAAGTTATTGTGCAATAATAAAAAGACGCCGAAAAACGAGCGAAAACGTAGTTATATGTTCATATTAAGAATAACCTAAATTGCGAATTTTTAGAATGGTTGAATAAAATAATGGAAGAGGAATAGAATTACATTTACGGTTTCAATTACCATAAAATGAAATAATACCATTGATAAAACAGACTTTGATTAGCCATTATTCGCTGAATTTAAATCATGATTTAATCATGATTTAATAATTTATTAACGCTGATCTATTTTCTCCAGACAGGTATGCTGTCTATTGTTGTGCCACCTGATTTCGATCCCGAAGCTACATCGAGCGATATGATGGTGGGCGAAGGCGGCCAGGTAAATGATCTTCTTTATTTTATACCGCTCTGTAATTTTGATTCTTGATTATCAAGAAAAAGCTTCTCATTATTTAACAACCTAAAAACTACTTCTCTGCACTGAGAGAAAAATTGTTGGTATTTGTAACTATATAATTACAAAGTACTATAATTATGATTACTACTACCATAATGTTATAGTAATAATTATACAATATACATAGTTTTATCAACAAATAAAACTTACTATATGTTAATAGTTATTATTACCATAAAAATGATTGCAATTATCATTATTGAACTATAATTTATAGTCATTTTTAGGGCTCAACTATATTTTACATGATTGCTCCTGAAAATGATTATAAGTTAAATAATTGCAACTATTTTTGTGGTAATAACAACTATAACGTATTAAGAGTTTTGATGTCAACTATATATATTTGTTGATAAAACTATACATATAATTATTATTACTAATATTGTAGTATTAATAATCAATAATTACAGTACTTTTAATTATAGTTACAAGTACCAAAAATTTTTCTTTCAGTGTAGTGATAAAATATAATCTTCCTTTTATTGCCGTTTAGAATACGACTCAAATTAAGTTCCTTCCGATCGAAATTAATTTTCGTCCCAATCTCTCAAAGATTCCATCTGCGTGCATTCGGAAATAAATTTGCGAATAAATATGCCAGGGGAAAGATGCGCCATAGCACGGCTAGGCCGGGGGGGTCGTTAAATAATTTACTCTACGCAGAAACCGTCATGAATAAACGACGGTTTATTGCTTACAAATGTGCTGATTTACGTGTGTAGTAAATTATCGAGCCGACGTTATATTCCGTGTGATTCATGTCGGAGAAATCTGTATCGGAAAACGGCAGTACGCCGCGAGTGTGCAACGGCTCGCGTCTGAATCCACAAATAGCCTGCAACTTCGCCGTCATTAATAACGCCTTAATTATGAAATTATTAGTAAATCAAGTTTATCGACAAGTTTATGACGTTTGTGATATTAAATTGAAAGTATTACCAACTCTTTGAATATCCTTGCCTTCCGTCTGTACACTAACGAATGTAGTATTAAATTAAATTATTAATTGCCGTATCTAGAAACATGTAAAATGTAAATTCAATTAATATATTTAAAAAAACTGATTATGCGATATGTTGCAGCGCACTTCATAATGTCATAGCGACTTCGTAATTGCAACTTGCAACACCTGTTGCAAGTGCTATTTCAACATTACGTTCATAAAACTTATAATTAATATTAAATATCTCTTTCCATTATATATAACTTCAATTGAAAATTTATAATTTCACGTATTTTCGAGCGGAAAGGAGGTGCACTTCTTCAATGATTAAAAATTGTTAAGGCGATGCTGGAATACCGACATTTGCATTCTAAATGGATAACTCCGAAACGACTGAACGGATTTAAAAACGCTTTTACAGGATTGAAATAGACATAAAATGTCATCGCGCTAGGTATATATGAGTAGTAAAAACGAAAAAATATTAAAAAATTACCTTTTTTGGGGATCATAACCTGTCACTTGACGTAAACATTTTATTGGTACAAAAGTTCTGTAGCTCATATGTACAAAAAAAGTATCTAACGCGCATCGGATTACTTGCATGAATAATACAAGACGTTTTGAGCTACGATTGGAAGCATAGAAAAAAAGTTGTTTATTAGAATGCAATTTGTGGTAATTCGTACGCTCGGCTAAAGTAAAGACAGCAAAAATTGCGTCTGGCAGTAAGTGTCGGATTTTCCAAGAGATGGCACTTCAATTAGTTAAATAAGAACATTCCACGTGTTTGAGTGAGACCAGAAGATATTGTAAGAAGTTCAATTTAGAGATACCACTAACACTGAAGAGTCTACTTTATCGACCTTGTGCAAATTTTTCCGACCTTCCGGCATTGCCTTAAATCTGAGAGGCATGTTTTCCATACTGAAAATTGCAATGTTTGATGGAATGCACGACCTTGGGAAAATTTTTCTGGGGGATGCGGTTTGCAGCGTCATAAAGTTTAAATCTTTCTTTTTAATTTAAAAAAAATGCAAGTTGCTACGATTTTTTTTCGCAAAGTTACAGCATTTTAAATTAACCCTTGTATTTTTTTCATTATGGTCAGCATTACTCGATGTGCATCATAGGACGATTGGCGATCATGCATGGTTTTGCACATTGAGTGCAGAGCGTGTGTAAAACATACACACAGTGTGCAAAATCCGATCGCCAACCTTTCTTGTTATGTACTCCTATGTACAATCGAACCATAACGAGAAAAATACAATGGTTAATTTAAAGTGCTGTAACTTTGCAAAAAAAAATAGTAGCAACTTACTTTTTTTTTTTTAAATTAAAGAGAAAGATTCAAACTTTATGACGCTGCAAACTGCATCCCCGAGAAAAATTTTCCCAAGGCCGTGCATTCCGTCAAACAGTGCAATTTCCAGTATGAAAAACATGCCTCTCAGATTTAAGAGTTTATAGTAGTAAGGATGCATTAAACTTAAAATCGTTACAGAGTATCTTAAAGTATCTCTTAAAAATGCCAAAAATTAACTACTCTTTGATTTAGCACAGTGCCACACT